CTCAGAATGACGAGGAAAATCTCACGTACAAACCAAATCCCATTATCTGGTACCTATGTTTTTTAACTTGATGTTACTTATAGGTATTTCTGTGGCCAGGATGCTGAGGGGAAAACAATGGAGTGTGAAGTGACAGCCACCGAGGGTGCCCCCGGCCACACCACTTACTGTGGCCCCGTGGGGCAAGCGTCACCAATGCTGTCGGCTTCTGCGATCACACCGTTAAAACTGGGATAATAACCTCTTTCTAGGAAGGTGGGGTGGCCAACTTCCTTCCTTCCCCTTCCTCCTTCGTTCATTATAATCTTAAGAGTCTTGGACTTTGACTTGCCTGGATGGTTCTATCGCTATGTCTGAAAACAGCCGTCGAGACTATCGAGAGCCGGGGTCCTCGCTGGTGTCTGTCCCCGGGGCGAGCGGCTGCCGACGGGTTCCGATGGCCCGGCTCTTCTCTCTCGATTTCGGCAGCGAGTGCCAGCACCAGCTCAAGTCCATCGATGGCGAGATCGAAGCCTATAAGAAATCCATCGTGAAGGAGGAGGAGAAGAATGAGAAGCTGGCGAGCATCCTGAACCGCGTGGAGACGGAGGCCGGCCTGCTGCAGAAACTGACCACGAGCTGCCTGACCAAGCAGGAGGCGCTGCAGAGCGAGTTCAGCACCTACCAGCTCGCCCTGCAGGACACGGAAGACGCGCTGGGCAAGGCCCACGTGGTACGGCCGTGCCCCGCCCCAGCAGGCCCGTGTGGGACGGCCACCACCCCCAGCAGGCCCACATGGGACAGCCGTGCCCCACCCCAGCAGGCCCATGTGGGACAGCCGTGCCCTGCCCCAGCAGGCCCCTGTGGTACGGCCATGCCCCACCCCCCAACAAGCCTATGTGGTACGGCCACCACCCCTAGCAGGCCCACGTGGGACGGTCGTGTCCCGCCCCAGCAGGCCCACGTGGGACGGCCATGTGCCCCAGTACCATGCCTCCACGGCCCCCCATAACAGCACCCGCCATGTGACTCCCTTTCCAGGAGTACAAGACGACCATGGGAGATTTGCAGACCCTGCACCAGGACATCCGGCAGGAGATGGACGTGAGGAGGAAGCTGGACACCTCCATCCTGGAGAAGCTGCAGGAGCAAATGACCTCCAACAAGATGAGCAAGCACTTCCGCCAGCTCATCCTGAAGCTCCAGAAGAAGAAGACCAACCTGGTAGGCCGCCTCCCTCTGCCACGCAGGGAAGGAGCCCCTGGGGACAGCGGGAGTGGGGAGGCGGCTCAGGCGCCCAGCAGACCGCACGCGGCAGAATCAGAG